GAGTGTGGGGAATCTACAGCTATGTTTAAGAAGTATGCAACTCAGCTCAAGGTTAAGATTCAAATTCAGAAAGTTTTGTTGTAGGACATACATGTTAGATGAGAACTGAAGATCCAAAAGACTGAGCATTTATTTTTAAAAGTTTTAATGTATTAATTGCAACATGGGATCTTCTTACACATACTTTAGAATTGTTTTACTTCATTCCCAACTAATACTTAATAATAAAAGTTATAATACTTAATGATTTTAATTTATTTCAGCAAAATAGTAAGCTCGTTATATTGATTTGATACAAGGAAAGCTTTAAAAGACATATATAAACATATATATTAAATTACACTGAGATTGCATATGTCCTCTGTGTCCTAAAAAAAGTGAGAGGTTTCAGTTTTACAAATTATACTAAATCCCATTAGAGAAGAAGATGACCTAAATACAATTTCCATGAAATATCAATTTTAGAAAGCAAATCTTAAATGGTTTAAGCTACATCTTTTTAGATTAAAAATACTTACGAAATCAGAAAGGTGGTCTTTTTCCTTGTCTCCAGATAGAGGAAGACACCACATAGTTATACTATTTCTATTTTTCCCTATGAAATAATTATTTCTTGCATACAAGCATTTTTCTGCCTGTTCGTTGCTAAGCTTTAAGAGATTTCAATTTTTGCCATATTAATATCTAGGGATCAGTAGGTGAGAGAAATATTGACGAGGGCTAAAGCAAAGTTATTATAATCAAACAACAAATGTCTTCACTAATATTTAAAGCAAACACATGAGATTTTGTTCCCAGAGTTAGGTTTCCAAATTTAATAATAAGCACCTATATAGATAGCCTTCTGCTTATAAGTAATGTACACATCCCTTTGCTGGGATGACTTCAGGTGGAGGACAGACAGCTCCTGAAAACATCAGCAACTTTAATTTCAGTGAGAGGTTGTGGATGCTTAATCCTTTCGAAAAACAAAAGCAGTTAATTTCCTAAACGGGTGTTTAGAAACCTTTCTCTAGACATCTATTGTTTGGAAGAGTTCAACTCTTAGAGTTAATTACCTCTGTAAAAAGGTTGGTGGTACTATTCTATAAACTGTTGACATCCTCATCAACAGAAATACTTAGCTTGTCCACTTTATGAGCTGTATCATCTTAGATGTTTCTTCATAGTAAAATGAAGGTGTGATTGTGATATATGCTAACTGAATGTAAAGAGCAGTGGAGATCAGGTACTGGGTATGTTACCGTATGCTAGCATTCAGAATATTTACCCAGGGTTTTTACAGAATTTTTAAATATGTCTACTGTAGTCCATTCTTTAATTTATTTTCTTGCTACTCCTATCTCTCTAAATACCCCCTTGAAAAAAGGTTAAAAAAGAAAGATCCACTACAGAGGCACTTTCTCTGGAAATCACTAGAATGAAACAGGTTGGGGCAAGACTAGATAGAAAGTAGCTTTATAGACTGGGGGTCTTGAGAACAGGTTAAACATTAGTCAACAGTGTGCCTTTACAGGTTTGAAAGCTAAAAAAAAGACTGCCCTGCATTAATAATAGCACAGCTAGCAAGTCAAGGAAAGTGACTTCTCCTCTATTCAGCACTTGGATGGCTGCATCTAGAGTACCAGGCCCAGTTTTGGGCTTTCCAGTACAAGAAAGATGTCAACAAACCTGAGTGGGTTCAGCCGAAAGCCATAGAGATGGTCAGTGGCTGGAGCATACAATGTACAAGGAGAGCTTAAAACAGCTGGGTTTGTTCAACCTGAGGAAGACAAGACTAAAACCAGATCAAGCTGCTGTCTTCAAGTACCTAATGCATGGTCATAGAGAAGAAAAAGTCAGTGTCCTCTCGGAGGTGTACAGCAAAAGTTGAGGGGCAATGAACACAAGTTACACCAAGGCAAATTCTGATTATGTATTATGAAATATCTACATATAATGAAAAATTTCCACAATAAGGGCTTTCAAATACTGAAACATCTACCCCAGACAGACTATGGAATCTCTGTCTTTGGAGATTTTTCAAAGTTGAATTGGAGACCTTTAGCAACCTGATCTAACCTTTGAACAGAGGTTGGGCCATATGATCTCTAAGGGCCAACTCTGGGCCCACTTCTATTACTCTATCAGATAGGTGCACATATAGATATGCTCATATTAACTAATACTAGTTTATATCTCATAAGTATAGATGTTTGATACTGAAAATAATAAATAGAAATGATAGAATGTCTATCATTCATTGTTCATTGTTAACTATTTATAAACGCTCATACATGTAACATCCATATACAAACACTCACCTTTTAAAAAGACAGTTTTGCTGTTTTTACAAAGCAAATATAATTTTTGTTTACATTTAAAATCAAGTTCTGCGATAAAACAGCCTTGTTATCTAAAAATATTTCATCTTCTTTTTAGAGATTTATCAAGACAAAATGTTCCCTGACTCTTTGACTGCTTTGCGTATACTGAACATACACGAACAAATTCAAAAGGGCTTAATCACAAAATGAACTGATACTATCTTACATATTTCTGAAGCCAAATTTTGCTAGGGGGAAAAAAAAAAAAGAAAATCCAGTTAAAAATATTCCTAAAACCTAGAATTAATTTTTTATGTAATATTGTTGACATAGCATGTAACAAATTTTGTTGAAAAATAGATTTTTTTTTTTTTACAAAAATGTATTTAGTTTCTCCCATATTTTTGCTTTTAATAATCTTCTAGAAATGTCACCAGAATGCTAAACTGCAGGTCACTTTGTTAATTTGGTGCATATATAAGAGACAGAACACTAAAGTAAAGGTATGGTACTCAGTGCTTCACATTCAGTCTCTCTCATTACTAACACGTACTCTATCAAACAGTATTCCTTTACCAGATGATGATTCCTTTTTTGAGCAATAGCAATGGAGCTACAATTTTAGAATGGCTTTTTCCCCTTTGGTGCAACTCTGAACTCAATGCATCATTTATATTCTTTTGCACCATGTATAATACACTGTAACACAATCGGATTTACTGGTGCTAGACAGACGAACTCCTAACCTTTAATGTCGGATGCATTAGCATATAATTTCATATCTATTTTCTCAGATTTATCATTTCACCTTTTACAGTGCACAAAGCTAATGTAACTTCTGCTGATGCCACTGCGAACTGGTTAGGTTATTTTATTTCTAACCTTTGTGAAATGGCAATGTGCTCTTCAGAAGACCTAGAAAACTAAACTGAAATGAATGTGCTCAGTACTTTCCTCTCTTTTTTTCCCTTTACTGTTCTTTCTCACACATCTTCTTTCTTCCTTCCCCAGCCCCTTTTTTTAAAAAAAACATCCCTTTAGGAACTGTTGAGAAGAGGAAATTAATTAAAGAGTCAAATCACCAGATTGCTTGCTTGGCTTCAATTACATGTCAGCTGAAAGAAAGGCAAAGTTATTACACCAGATTTTAAAACATAATTTTTAAAATAACATATTTTCAGATGTGTTGCCTTGCTGTTAGGCCAACTGTACCAGTGGTTCTTTTAAAGTATTGACATTGCTCAGAGTGATTTTCAATCTTTACATGTCTTGAATATACATATTCATCCTGTCATCTTTTCTGGATGACAGAATCTATGCTGTGCCATGTGTGTTAGCTGTGCTGTTAAATTCTTCTTTTTAATTACTTTTGATGAGGCGCTACTTTTCTTTCAGCAATCTCCTCAGATTTCCCAGTGGCTGGAAAGAACGGTATTCTGCTTCCTCATTTTCTATCCTTGTTACAAGGGTTCAAACACATTTCAAATGATTCCAGCCTAAAATTCCTCTCTCCAACACTATTCTGATTTTCATCAGAAAGCTAAAGATGCTTCTAGAATGGACTAGGTTCTTTGGACAATCAACTGCAATCTCCTTTATTTACCAATTTTATATCACAGCTCTGGTTGTGTACATTGAACTGTGGTAGAGAATAGTAAAGGAAGATTAACGGATTCTGTAATTAATGCTGTAACTTTGCTTGAGGCAGTTTATTGAGCTAACAAAATCCACAATGTCAGACAAATATGAGACAAAGCAGATAAAAATTTTTTGTTGTTTTTTTTTTTAAAAGCTACACAGAAAAGGTGGATTTTGAATCATTTATTGATCTGGTCTTATAGCAGAATGAATAGAGGTGACATGAATAAATACCAATACCTTGCCCTTTTTATTCATGTACTCTACAATGGGCACCCCAGTTGGCTGTGTTAGATGTGACTAAGCCCTCTGTTACAGGAATCTCTCTCCACCCATTCACCAAAAAGGATTTTAAACTACCCCAGCATTTATGAGAATATGGACTAGAAAACTAAGTTTTAAGTAAAGAACATATGAAGTGAAAGAAAAGACAGAAAAGAAATAAATAGCTTTTATATGCAACTCTTCCCTATCTCACTGCATCCTCAAAGGCAAATCCTTGCTTTCAGCTTCGGTTTTAGTCACCTGATGACTTTTCAGTTACAGCAGACTTTGCCCAACTCCCCCCAGTCCCCGTGAAGTTCTCCTCATCCCCTTTGAAGCCTGTCATCTCCCTGCTCCTCACCGCACACTCTCAGCATCCTTGCCTCAGCTGCAGGTTCCCAGTTTCCCAAACGAGACTCTCAATTGCTACATCCTGACTCTTCCTCACCAGACCAGGCTCCGAAGCTCCCCTATGGGAAGTGCAATCTCCTGTCTCCTCGAGACAGCTCTCCCTCACCGGGTCACTTTACTTAGAGGATTGTAACATAAAACTGGCAATCGACCAAATCAGACATATGTCATATTAGAAGAGCAAAAAGAAATGAAAAGGTAAAATATCTGGGGTGAGTGGTATGGCTGTGATAACAATAATCCATAAAATGTTTCTCTATGAAGCATCACAGTTGAGTTTATTATGCTGAACAGAGTTCAGAGCAATTCAAAACATCAGTTTTTACTATCTGAAGAAAAAATAAAAAGATGGTTCTATGCCCACTCCAGAAATTTACAATCAATTCCTTATCTACGTACTATCACCGATTCATTTAACGACTAAATATGAGAAACATTACAAACATGAATTAAAAAATATAATTCTAAATAATGTAGAGTTTTGACCATTGGACCAAATTACATCAAAGTCCTTTTAAATACCTTTAACTTCTTTGTCGTTCTTGAACCATCTGATATCAGCTGCTGGTTTACTACCAGATGTCTTGCAAGTTAGCTGCATCCTCTCTCCCTCCATAACTGGTGAGGTAAATCCAGTAATTTGTGGCTTCTCGGGAACACCTAACAAGCAAACAAGCAAAATGTCTCTGATAGTGTCAGCTGCTGCCATGAATATATGACCAACTTCAAGTTCACTTCTTCATATGCTCTAAATTCTGGAAACAGAATAATTAGTTCCTTGCCTTCTATCAAAATCGAATGTCACTGAACCCTGTTTCTTGTTGCAAATAAACTGTCAATCTGCACTGTAGTTGATTCTAAAGAATTAAAGAAAACAGAAATTATCTAGTTTTCTAAGGAAAACAGATTGCATTTTAAAAACTGTATATGTATATTCTGCATGCAGGTCTCGTCTGACTTGCTATTATAAGGTTTAAACCGGTCTGCACAGCAAGCAGGATGACAAAGCATATTAGAAATACAGCTGTGAAAATAAAATGTAACTGGCAACAAAAAGCTGAACTGCTCTAAGTTCAGAACAGATGTTTAAGCATGAATTATGAAGATTTTAATACAAAATCCAGGGAAAAGGAAGGATGAAAATAAATACAGGAGTTACTTTATCTTCAGAGAACACATAACTAAAAAAACAACAGGTATAATCACAATTGGCTATGGAGAATTCTTCAGCTGAATCCAAGTTCTCTGGAGGAGGTCGTATGATCATGAAATATTATACACATAATACTAAATTTGGAAATAGTTGTTTTTCAACAAACCATGGAAGATTTAAAAAAAATTATGAAGAGAACTGGGAAAAATTTGATCACTACATGTATAAATCCATTTGACTTCCACAAACACAAGAATAACTTATTTTAAAGTGATACTGATGACTGTAATTTTAAAATCTCTGAAAATGTCATTGTTGTAACTTGCATCTGCAGCGCTTTGACGCATTCATATTTGTGGCTAGATAAAGGGATCAGTCACATTAACGGATCCTGTGCCCTGTATTTCACAATTTGGTTTGCTTACATCTCTTTTCCAAAATGACAGATTATGTACATAAAAACCAAGCAGCAGTATCTATCGCATAGTACATTTCTGTAATAAATTTACTCCTCTCCTTCAGGACAGAAAATGGTGTCTACTATAACACCTTGACACTTAAATCTTCTAATCCATAACAGAGCAGTCAATAAAGAGATTATTAGTACATAAAAGGATAGTTTTTTTGATTAAAAGATGTAATACATTTCAATGGAAAATATCCCCTTCTCAGATAGAAAGTGTTCCCAGAGTTTAAAATGTTACTTTGACATAGAAAATTACAAATATAAAATGAAAAAAGGCATCTTAAACCTTGCAGCTTTCTTTCTTGGAAGGCAAGTAGCTGATCGTGGGAAAATTGCATTAAATCCTCCCCCAAAACGAAGGTAAAATTAAAAGGACTGTGAAAGATCAAGTTACTTGGTTAATAAATATTGGCTAGATGTTTTTTTGTCTTTGTAACACCTTTCTATGTCTTTCTGCCATTTAAAAGGTTGAACTGGTCTACTCATCTATTGTTTAGATCATGAGATGCCTCTCTACAGAAAAGAAGATTAACCGTAGGCAGTTGTTATTCCAGAATATTCTGCTTTGAGTGGGTATTTTTTGTCCTTAATGGCAAACTTGTGAAGATTTTTGTAGAATAGTCTCACAGGGACTGAAAGGGAGATGTATTTCATATCCTATGCACAAAACCAATTCCCTGGCTGGATTAATGTGAATATTACTGGCGCAGAGAACATCTTACATTAGTCCTATTAAATTCAACTGTCTGCCTGTCTACATATAAAAATAAAACAAAAAGAAAGAAAGAGTGAAGTTCAGGGACAGAAAAAGGAGAAAAGAATAAAACTCAATCTCTAAAATCATATAACCTCTTAGGTACGCAGGTGTGTTTCAATGAACTATAGCAATTTCAGCTGATTGGGCTACTGACATTCATAGAATCATATAAAGCTTCGAGCAGAAACTTTATTTCCTGGGCATCTCTCGAAATCTATTGCTTTTCTATGTGTATCTATAACCTTTGGGGAAAACAGCAGAGCATTTAGAGGATAAAGCATAAAAGAAGCAGCAAACCCAGTGAAAATATGCACTTTATAGACAAAAAAAAGAAAGCAGAATGAGCCAAGAAAATGCACAGCTAAGGAAAAACGATAAAGCTCTAAAGCCCGTTTTGATTTCATGCTTTCTGATTTTGTCCCCTTTGCCCTATACAATACATTGTTAGGGGATGAACACATGCACCTTCTTCGCGCTTCTGGTGCTTGGGATGTAGAGGTTATGTCCATTTTATGGAGCACTCATGCCGTGGTATTTGTGTGCTCCCTAATTCATTATCCTGCCACAGTGCAAATAGTGAGAGGCATGTTATTTTTCAGCACAGCGATATGAAACAATAAACTTCATGGAAACAAAATCAGACATTTATATGTATCTTCTGCCAAGCTTTAGAAAAGTTCATTCTTATCATAATTTGCCAAAGTCTGAGAAGTTTAACACTTGCTTCTTTATGCTCAGCTATTTATACTTACCAAGAACAGTAAGAAAAGCCTTGGAAGTTTTGACAGGCATAGTAAATAAAGAGCAGGTGTACTGCCCTTCGTCCGACAGAGACACATCACTGACACTGATACTCAGTTCATGCCACGAAGCTCGGACCAGCTCAATTCTGTTGTCCCTCAGAGCTGAAAAATAAAAATTCATGTTATAAGGTAGGAAACAGCACACTAACAAAGCGTGGTATGTTATACAGGAGGCTCTATGAAGTAGCCTACTGAAATCACGCCTTAGAATACAGGGATATGGACACAGTTGTCTTTATGCATAGTAGTTTGTTTTTTCTACGAAATAAAGCACGAGAGTCCACCAAGTTTCCACACAGTGTAGTGAGTCACTTGTAATGTATATAAACCTAGAAACTAAGGGACTTTAGTTACCTTTGATCTTCCTCTGAAAACAACAACACTGACTGATTTCTGCCCCCTAACAACTTTATTCAGTGCCTAAAATAACTCGTCCTAAAAACCTTTTTTTTTCCATGTATTTACAAACATGGGTGCATATTGAGAATCCTGTTTCATCTACTAACAAATTATATTTTCAATTAAGAAGCCTAGCGTTGTGCAGCTTGCCTACAGATTTTTTTCACGTCCATTACTACTCATATTGAACTGGAATATCAGATTTCTTGAACGCTATAAGGGTATTTCTTATTATGAATATATTGAAAGTTCCACTTCTACATGCATATATAATACATTTAAAGATTTTAGGTAATTAAGTGTAGGGGCTTTACTTTTTTGATTATGACTAAAAATCTGATCTTCTATCAGAAAATCCTTCGTGACAAAATTTTGTTTGCGTGAAACCACTGAGGGAAGAGCAGCAGGGAGATTTCCTTAAATTCAAAATGTCATTTTAACTAATGCTTTAAAATTTTAAATATTTTAAAACCTACATTTAGATTAACCCACATTTTCTATTTGAAAACAGTCAAAACATTCCCAAACATTCCACTTGTCTGGAGTAAAGCTGTTTCGGGAATCTACATATATTAATCGAGTCTTTCTGCAGCATAGAAATACTATGTATCAGAAGTAAGTAAACACCATAATTCTCCTAAGCAAACAATACAAAAGCCTATATAACTCAGAAAGTTTTGCTGTGTACCTCTAGATTCAAACCTTTGATCTGGCAGTATTTGAATCTTCAGTGTGTCTATTTTTATAGTAAGCCTCTGATAGTCAAAAGTAAAATGGGACTATTAAAATTACTGGGAGAACTATGCTTTGATTTGTGAGAGGAACCAAGATGTTCAAGTCCCTAGTGCTATTCTCACTCACCTCTTTCTAAAGTCCCCAAAGGCTCTTATATTTGTTTCTCCTAACATTTATATCTTCCAATGATAAAAATGAGCTTTACTGTGGTTCTTTTGCTACTAAATCTAGATGTTTCTGCCCCATTGCAAGACTCTCCAAGTGCTGTCAATACAGGAAGATTTTACACCAAAATAAGCAGCTACAATGAAGATTCAGCAAAAATGTCACTTGAATTTGTTGTCTTCTAAGGTTACCATTCAGGTTTCTTTACAATGATTTCAAGCTGAATTTATTGGTTATTTCAGGGTAGGCCAGCTAAAGTTTGACTTAGTCTCTGCAGGGTCTGATGACTGAAAGGTGACAGCTTAAGCAGACCTAACATATAAGCATGCTTCAAGGCACATCAAAGTGACTGTGTAATGGACACATCCCAAACACAACTGAGAAATCTTCTGGCCAGCCACAGCAAGAAATAAATAATTATGTACTATATAACATAAAATGCACATAATGATGGAAAATAGGTTCAACATTACAGCAAACAAGCAAGCAAAACAAAAACCACAAAATGAAAAGCTATGTATATACCAATATGCTGACATAGCAGCAAAGAAAAACAAGCTCAAGAAAACAAAAAGTACATAGAAGCAAGCTTCTACCAACCCAGAATAGCAGGCAAAGCTGATGACTGTGGCTTTACTAGCCAAAAGTCCTCACAACAGTGAAGCTGTTGCTATCTTTGAGGAAGTAGATGGAGACTCAGAATTCATTTCTCAGCATTTCAATTCTAGTCAGATGCAAACTAAGCAGACATAAGAATGGTAGTTTATTTCACATTTCTGACCTTTCAGAAAAATTATTTTCAAAATGACCCAGTGTTTCCAAATGTTTGATTACCACCACACCCAGGTATATAATTCGGAGAACAGCATAGGAAATACAAAAAAAAAAAAAAAAAAAAAAAGAAAGAACAAAAAAACCCCTTAGCACCCCATAATTTGAAAGTGGTGATTTTTGCGTCCCCTGGATCAGAAATTATGTAAAATAAAATGCAGCATATCGTCTTACATCATATTTTATTTTGTTATAATTTTCAATTGCTACTGCCCAATGATAAAGATTTATGTAGCTGTTGAAATAATTTTCCTATAGACAGGGCAATGTGCAGAATTTGATGCACTAAAAAGAACCATAATGAATTCCACTAGAGCACAAATGGTCTACAGATGATGCCAACAGCACACCATTTCAATCCTACTGGTAGAGAAAAAAACAACTGAAATACAAACCAACTGCATCAACTACTTTCCTACGGCTCCCCTCCCTCATTTCCTTCCCACCCCCTTTTTTAACCTTTTACAATATAAAAACCTCAGCTCAGTCAATTTTCTGGAAAACTGGTAAAAACAACCACTGATCAAGAGCGGAGATCAGACGTTCCATGTTTCAGCCTGGAGTGAATTTTTATTGAAAGAACAGAAAGAAAGAGGTTTGTAATGGAGATACCAACACAGAGCCTTTGCAAAAAATGCTGCAAATAGCACCGACATAGTGCTCCTTCGCAAGAAAGCTGTTTGTCAGAAGCATTTTTATAAGCGCTAAGTCTAAACGCAATTAATTATCTGTGCCATCAATTTCAAACCTAAACATCTGTAAGCTTTCCTGTCTACGCAGATTTGAGAGCAAACCAATGAGAAAACTCTACCGCTATTTCTCAGACAAGGCTGGCTCTTATGCGGAGTCTTTTTAGAATCTTATTTTCAAACTTTATTTCTACATCTATGTCTATATCCTTATCTATATCTGTTTAGAAAGACATCAATTCCTCCTATGAAATTGATAGCTGTGACGGATGCCAGAACTGGTTTGTTTCCATTTTCTGTGTCAGGTATATTTTGCCAAAAGGGTGAAGTTGGATCAGAGAAAAAGTGGCTGCCTAACTTGTCTAGTCCTGACTCCCTCACCCTGGGGCAGGGAGAACCCTCTGGGAGAGGGTGACTGCTTCCTCGGACAGCAAATGGACAGTCGGCGGCACTGGAGAAGCCAGGAGTACTTCTAGCCAGCTAGCAATCTCCAGGCACGGAGACTGAGAGGAGCAGGGGTCTTGCGCATGGCAGAGAGCAAACCCTTGCCAAGCCTGGTTGATGGAGCAAAGAAGCCCGTGGAGCCTGAACAGAAGCCAGCCACTGAAAGGTATCAATGGCAAGCAAAAGCTTGAAGGAGAAGACATGCTCCTCAAAGAGCCGGTGGAAAGGAAGGAGATTTATTTACAGTACTCTGTATTTTATCCCTTTCAGCAGATCTGAGCTCTACTTGTTTAAAGAGGCATCTCATCTAGTTTATTATTCTCTATTTAAAGGACATGAGTTTCAAAAGCTTTTTGATCCTTCTTTCTTGGAAGGGAGAATTGTCCCAAACAGGGCAATTTTACCACAAGGTTCAAACCAACTCGAGGCTCTACCATAGTAGTTAAAATAATGTACCATGAAGTAAAATACAAAATGTTCTTTCCTATTTAATTAATAGCTGAAAACAAAAAGTAGAACGTATATGGGGACATTCTGCATGAATTTGGAGTTTGGTACACATAAACAGATTTCCTACATACTGAAATATCCGATGTCCACACATTGAAAATACAAACAGCAGTAAATAATTCCAGCTCCCCACAAAAGTTAACAGGAAACACCAGGCTTCTCTTTAAAGTGTATCATGCTAAAATACAGCCGCTGTACTGTACTCAGGTGACAGGATTTATTCCTGCACTTTTTAAGAAGGTTATACTAATAGCTCCATTTGTATTCCACGGGTAGTTTCTGAATACTATTTATTAGTTGTATCGTGGTAGTGACTAGACAGCCCAGGTGAGCACAGAAAAGAAAGCTTTGTCCTTAAAGACTCCACAAGCTCTGTCCTCACTTGACTTGCATGGTTTCCTAGCCTCGCTCCTACCTCTTTCAGAGCCTTCTCTGGAAGCTCTTTTTTTTTTCCATTTCACTTTGCTAGAAGCTTAACAGCTTTTTGGCCTCTTCCTGGGGATTTTCACCTACATTCCTGAATCACTACCTTATCAATAGTTTGCATCCCTACATTTCTGCATGATACAGAGATGCTAGAAAAGGGTAAATAAGCAGAATATGTATTTGACTTCTGGGAAATACACCTATGCCAAAACAGTAACTAAGAATACCACCACTGACGCCTCCTTCCTGGATTCTTATGTTGCAAGCACTTATAAAAAATATAAAATGCAACAAGAAATATAATTGCATAGTAAATTCCAATATGCCCTAAGTATATTATTTCAGTTTTCTGTAATTCCCAAGCACATATGATGTAGTTAATTTGCAAAGTATGAAATAATTACGCATAAAATACTTGTTCCTAAGCAGACACACTTCATTTATTTTACCTGTCATTCTCTTTTTCTGTGGAAAAGATTTCCTTTCAGAATGTTTTCTGACACAGAAACAAGCAACCTTGATAATTTGCATAGTTTAGATTATTATGAGTAAAAGATACAGTCATGTATTTCAGCTGCATTAATTAGCAATTCTTGAGACTGACGACCATTGCAATAAACTGGTCTCCTTTTTCACAATCACAAAAAGCTGTACTTCATTTTTTGCACAAAATAATGTAATGATAATATGTAGTCAAGTAGTGAAATCTTGCAATAGGAATTATATCAAAGAGAGAAAAGAAACTTAGAAATTCACACTGTCATGGAAAAAAAAATCCATATCATACTGGGCGGAAAAGGCAGTTGAACCTGTTAGGTATAGTAGCCGGAGAGCAGCATCTCTAATCATATTTCTCTAAAATGAGTACATCTTACTGCTATTTGGTGTCATATATTTG